CTGTGTCAGGCTCTCCACTCAGCAGGGAGCCTGCTTCCTCTCTCTTTGCCTGCCTCTCTGCCTACTTGTGATCTCTCTCTCTCTGTCAAATAAATAAATAAAATATTAAAAAAAAAAAAAAGAAACATGCAACCATCCTTGGCCGTTCTCTTATTGTGATAAATAATCAACCTTCAGCAGGTCCAGCTGTCCATCTCTGTATGGACTTTAGGAGGTTTCTGGTATTGCAAGTCTTTTTCAGAATAGATATTTCACCTCTAGGGTAAAGGAGACACTGGCAATGAAATCTATACCCTTTTGGGGAGCAGTGAGCCCCACAATGAACTTGAATCAGTGATGGGCTTTAAGATTATATTCCAGTGTGTTCAGCCAGGATAACGGCTCATTATTATTTTGTGCTTTCTAAAAGCCACCTGCCTGCTGTCACGGCCCTGGGAAGGGTGCCTTCGTGCCTTGCTCACTTTCCCTTTAAGAGTTGATAGTGTTTCCCCTGGTAAAGTTCCAAGTGCCCTCTGGACTAATTGGCACAATGTGAGAATTTTCCAATTTGGAAGAGAAAGAGCCTGTTCTCCAGGGAAGGTTCTTCAAGGTAATTGCTCTCTGAGAGATTCCTGCCACTACCTTTGGCAGCCGTCACCAGAGACACATCCCTCTTGCTGTTAGGAGGAGCTAGAAACCCACAGTTGGAAAAATAGGAGCTCAGGACAAACTTGCTGAGACCTTTGGAGCCGATGACCTTTCAAAAGGGCGGAAGTGGGGGAAAGGCCAGTGCCGGCAAAGGCAGCTGGACAACCCCTCCCCACCCCCCAACACAGGCACCATGGCTCTGCTAGACTTCTCCACTGTCCTCTTTCTAAAAGAGCTTCTGGGAGGGCAGGGGGCAGTAGAGGGAGCTCATGTATTAACCAGCATACCAAGCAGGGAGAGAACAGCACTTATTTGGAGCAAACACTTGAACAAATTATTTGGACTAGAAGGAGGGCCCAAAGGATGTACTGTATAAGAAAAGTGGTGGTTGGGGCACCTGGCTGGCTCAGTTACTAGAGCATGGGACTTTTGATCTCAGGGGCCTGAGTTTGAGCCCCACATTGGGTGTAGAGCTTACTTAATAAGTTAAAAAAAAAAAAAAAGATAGTGGCTAATCCAAGCAAAGCTCCAAGAGGAATCTGTGTGTGCCCAGGGTGTGAGGGGAGAGTGAGAAGCAAAGACACAGGGAAGAGAGAAGGCCTTTCTGGACCACCATCTGCTACCCCAGAGGGCAGGGAACATGTGTGGGGAAAAGGCCAAGAGGGGAATGACCATCAAATGGGTAGCAGGCTGGGAAGAAGAGTTGAAAAATGAAAATGGAATAATGGTTTTCTGTGAGTTGTGGGCTGTAGGTTCCCTTCCCCAGCTGCGCTTTCCAATTTTCATTCAAATTGGTGGTGCTCCCTGTTGTATGTGTGGGTGAACACACTAGTTCTGGAAGCTGAGGAGGTGCTGAGCTCTGTGGTCTGTTGACATGGGGTAAACAAAAGAGGAGCAGTGTTGGACACGGGAGGTAGGAGAGTCCCAGCAGGCCTGTGGTGCTTTCGTTCCTTTGCAGGTTCACGTCACAGTCCTGGGAAACAGCAGGAAGGAGGAGGCAGCCAAAGTGTTCAGGCTTGGAGCTGAGCTGAGGGGCAGCCCCCAGGGGGAGGTCGCCAGCTGGATGTGGATTCAGCAGGCCTGACTCCACAGCTCCTGTCTCCATTACCCGGATGGTCATGTCCCTCCTGGACGGGCCTTTGGAACTGTTGCAGCGAGGGCCAAAAGGCTGCTGGCCTCTGTTTCTGTTAGCAGGAGCATAGCACGGGGGCCTCAAGGAGTGTGTTTTAGAGCAAGAGTCTCTGGGTGTGAATTCTAGCACAGGTATTGACTCGAACTTGGACAAATAATTCTGATTCTCTGTACTTCAATCCCCTCATTTGCAAAAGCAAAACAAATAAAATAGTACCTTCTTCTTTTTTTTTTTTTAAGATTTTATTTATTTATTTGACAGACAGAGATCACAAGTAGGCAGAGAGGCAGGCAGAGAGAGAGAGGAGGAAGCAGGCTCCCTGCAGAGCAGAGAGCCCGATGTGGGGCTCGATCCCAAAACCCTGGGATCAAGACCTGAGCTGAAGACAGAGGCTTTAACCCACTGAGCCACCCAGGTGCCCCATATTTTCTTTACTTTCTAGCGACACAGGACTATGCCATGAACCGTCCTGGAGTTCAGCAATGCTGATGCTTTTATCTATCTTCCTGATCCACAGAAAGAATTCAGGTTCTGGAGTCAAACAGATTTTGTTCGAATCCCAGCTCAGGCCCCTCTAGCCGTGTCACTCTGGTCACACGATTTAACCTCCCTGTGAAAGGGGTAAAAACCACCTCCCCTGCAGGGTTGTTGGGAAGACGTACTACCAGGAAAAGTGCCTGGACACATCCTGTCCCTCTGGTCTGACTGTGGAATGGCCCAGTGGCTCCCCTACCCCACTCCACTTGACGATACATATTCTAAACAGCTCTGGGGTCTCCTAGACTTTTCAGACTTCTCCCACATTTGGTTAAGTTTGGCTGAAGTTAAACTCACTTGTTGGTAATCGTGCCCTCTGTGTTGTCTGGACACGCTGTTAGCCTCGGCTTAGATCTTGCCGGGCAGGTTGGCTGAAATTGGCCTGGGTCAGTTCTCAAGAAGTACTGTGGACTGTCTTGAGAAGCACTAGGAAATCCAAACTGGCAAAGATGGAAAGCACGAAGTCAAGCACATTTATTATGAGCTGTCTGTTTCCCTTTCTCCTCCAGCTTTGGGTTGCTGTCCACGAGAGCTGTGCCTCCCCTGCTTCCAGGGACCTCCCCAGAGGCTGTCACTGAATGCCACCATCTGTACTCTTTCCTCCTCATAAACAAGGAAGCCACGCCCCATTATAGCCCCTCCAGAAGGCTTGATTTCCCTCAGGGTGTGCATGGGGAGCAAGGATGTTCTGTTTGACTGTTGAAGGAGTGACCACAGAAAGCTGAAGGACTTGAGAACATATATATCCCTATACAGGTGGCTAGAGATGCATGACAATTGCCCCAGAAGAATGTTATGTGAAGGCTAACAGTAGCTAGCTCTAAATGTAGGGTAACATGGTCTTATCCTTTTCTTCAATCTATATTTTATAATCTTTTCTACAATGGAAAGGTATGGCTTTTGCAATAGTGGCAAAATGACTGTTAAAGAGAAAATCGATATTTAGTTGGAAAATTCATCCGATGGACATTTACGAAGCCTGTGTTATGGCCAGCGCTGGGCTTGGCCCTGGATGAACAAAAGGGGTACGAAAGACTGGTGCGCTTGAAGAAACTGCAACAAGCTGGAGAAAGCCTTCAATAAACAAATAAATATGTCGTGACAAATTGGGGTGCAGGCAACAAAAAGAAATGACCTGGCTGCCGGGATTGACGGTAATGGGAGGAGGCCGTGAGTAGTGGAACCTACTTTAGGAGGTGGTTAATAGGTGCCATGTAGGCCCAGACCTGACAGAGGAAAAGGAGTGTGCAGCGCCAAGAGTAGGTGGAGGGGAATTCCAGACACAGGAAGGGCCTGCGGGATGGTCCAACAGCAAGAGCGAGCTTGGCACCCACGTGTGTTTGGGGAGTGGAGGTGGTATTGTGGAGGGGCAGGGCCCAGCTCATGCAGAGCCTCTCAGCCTTGGCAAAGACTGTGGTCTTTATTCTAAAGGCAAGAGGAAGCTAGCTAGGAGGTTCTTGAAAGAGAAGAAAGAGGCCAGTTGCATCCATGGAGTTGGAAGGAGGTTCATGGGTTTAGGGCATTTTGAAAGGAAAACAAATAGACAAAGCATGTTATTGGATCAGAGGTGGGAAGGAGAGGGAGGGAGGTGCCATAGATGGCTTCCTATTTTCTCGTTTGGAATTATCACCAAAGTGAGGCAGATTGTGGGAGGAACAGGTTTGGGCATGTTAAATTTCAGATGTCTGGGTTTATTAAAAGGGCGGTATTCAGAGGTGACTCAGCCCTCTGATGTGATGAAGTCCAATGCAAACAGAGAAACAATTCACCAAATTGCTTTGGCATATCATAACAGATTTATAAAGGTTTAGTTCCCTATTTATAGAACTGTTAAGGAACCAAAAGTCATGTATAATTTTCAGCTGTACTTTGGTTCATTTTATGGGTGACAGTACATGCTATAGGGGCATTTGGTAGTTTGGAGTTCCATAAGGAACTCATGAAAGCCAAACATCTATGATAGATATACTACACAATATATTAAACTGATTTCCAATACAAGTTTCTGGAAAATGTAAAGTGTCTGGTTGGTGTGTAGTCTGTGGACGTGCAATAGTTATCCTTGATTTAGCACTTTGTGCTCCACATTCTGTGACACTCTATAAATACCTCACTCGAACCCCACATTATTTATCATCCAACTTACATGCAAGAAGAAAAAGCTCAGAAAGGCTGAGTAACTCACCCAGGGACACAGAGCAAGGAAAGGGTGGAGTCTATAGTGGACCCAGGCCAAAATGGGATTGAGAATGAGAGAGGTTTACTGGGGAGTGACACCCACAGATAGACAAGACCCAGCACAGACCAAAGTCTCTGCCAGCCCAACATGGAGTTCTGAAGCAAAGACTGCCCATTTCAAGGGGTCCTGCATTTGGGCAGAGATGGGTGGGTCCTTGTGCCACTACTGCAGCTCACCCATTGGCTGAGGAGAGCACTCCAAGAAGAGCATGACCTCGGCTTGAAAACTGGGCTGGCCCCTCAAGGCTGTCAGCGAACTGCACTCCTGGCATCAGGCACTTGGGATCTCCTTAAATGGGGATCTCAGCGGTGCATCTCCCTGTCTGTCACATGCTCTAAAAACTGGCCAGTGCTCCTTTCATCCAAGAGAAGGGTGTATGTGACTTATCTATCAAGTGCAACAAATTGCCCCAAAATGTAGCAGCTTAAAACAGCAAGCATTTATTATCTTACAGTTTCTGTGGGTCAGGAATCCAGGCATGGCTTAGCTGGGAGCTTCCGACTGAAGGTCTTCTGTAAGGTTGCGGTCAACTTGTAGCTGGGGTCACGGTCTCATCCGAAGGCTCAGCTGGAAGGGAAACAGGCTTCTGAGCTCACTTGTGTGGTTGTTGGCAGACTTTGAACCCTCACCACCTGGGTGTCTCCACAGGACTACTTCATGACATGGAAGCTGACTTCCTCTAGAGGAAGCAATCCGAGAGGCAGTGAGAAAGAGGATCCATGGTGGAAGTCATGGCTTTTATAACCTACTCTTGGACTTGACATCCCATCACTTCTACCACAGTCTATTTGCTAGAACTGAGCTAGCAAATCCAGGTCATACTCAAGGGATGTACGACTATAAGAATCCCAGGAGTATTCAGAGGCCCTTTCAGAGGCTGCCTACCATAGGTAGGTGTGTATTCAAATAAACAACACTAATGAGGAGCGCCTGGCTGGCTCAGTGGGTAGAATATGCAACTTCTGATCTCAGGGTCTGAGTTCAAGCCCCATGTTGGGTGTAGGGCTGACTTAAAAAAAAAAAAAAAGGCAATAATGACGTAATAATGAGTTTACCCACCATGTGTTAAATATTTGCTATGAATTAGGGGTGGTATTAGGGCTTCATCCCTACTCCTTTATTTTTATTTTATTATTTTTCTAAGTAGGCTCTGAGCACAACATGGGGCTTGAACTCACCACACTGAGATTAAGAGTCACATGGTCTACCCACTGACCCAGCCAGGTGCCCCCCAACTCCTTTACTCATTCAGGATCCATCAGCTAGTGGGCGCTGAGCTGCTGAGAAGAGAAAGACAACTGAAGTACACTTCTTGGTCTTGAGGTGCTCATGTCCAGCGGTATAATCTGTTTCATGTTTTACAAAGGAAGAAAAGAGGGGTCACATGGTTTGCAAGTAAGGGGCTGAACTAGGAGGCCAAACAAAGCTGGTCAGGATGACATCAAGGCCACTAATTTTTGTGAAGATAGCATACTCCTGAATCCGCAAGCTTGAAAACATTGGTAGTCTAAGAACAATTGTGAGGAAGAAACAAGTCACAAAGAATATATACACTGTAATTCCAATTATATGAACTTCAAAAACAGGGGCTTGCTTAGAGGTACACAAAGAGCAGATACACTGAATAGAACAGCAAAAAATCGGATGGTGCCCATCTCCAAAGGGAAGAGAGGAATGTGAGGAGGGATGGGCCCCACAGGGCTCCTGGGGAGCAGAGTACTCTTCTGGACCTGGTGGCTTCACCCGATTTATGATGACACCTGCAACTGTACATATGTTCTGTTTGCTCCTCTGTATGAATGACATAGTTCACAATAAATAAAATACAGTAACAAGCAATTGTGTGGTGAGGGATGTTATTGGCCAGGTGTGCAGGCACCTGTGATGGCAGGTAAAGAGCTCTCTTTTTCAGAGACACAGGGGCAGAAGGTTTTTTTTGCCTTCCACCAATGTGTCACAGAGGTGCACCTGCATCCTGGCTCACCACTATGGTAACGTGCATTAGACCCAAAATAAATTCTGAGGAGGACAGTGCTTGGTGACATCATCTTGTTGTTTGCGCCAACGTGTCTGATCATTCCTAAAAGGGCTGCTGAAGAGTGAGACCCCATTTACGTTGTAGCAATAGCCACTTGGAGCTTTCCAGAGCAAAGTGCAACTCTGTACAAAAGTGCAAGGGAAAGCTCGCTCCTGCATACCTCAGATTAATTAGGCTTTACTTTATTATCCTTCTGAGCCTGTCAGAAAAGCAGAGTGAGGGGGGTGGGGCGGTTGGTTGGCTGGTTGGCTCAGTCAAAAGAGCATGTGACACTTGATCTTGGGGTTGTGAGTTCGAGTCCCACATTGAGTAAAGAGATTGCTTGAGTAAACAAACAAACTTTAAAAAAAGAAAGGCAGAGGGGACTTCTGGATTGGGTTTTGTTTGAGACTCTGGACCCAGGCCAGTTGGAAATACATGAGAGGAATCTGGAAGTCAGTCTCTGTCCACAAGAAGGATGGGGAAGAGGGAAGGGACTGGGAGGAGATGTCCTATCTCCTTTGGGGATTTTGAGCTCATTCTATCTAGTCCCACATTGGTCAAGATGGAGCTCAGCTTTCTGAATTACCAGCCCTCTCTAGATGCTTCCTGGGCTCCTGACAGTGTTCTATATATAGACTTGTGGGGAGGGGGGCGGTTTACCTGCACTGAAGAGTCACATGACACTGACGTGTATTTAGGGTCTAGAAGAGCATCTTTTCAGTACGTACGTGTGCGTGGGAGGGGGAGGTGTAGGATTGCCAGAGAAACACCTGTTAAATTTAACTTTCAGATAAGGACCTATTAAATTTACATTTCAGATAAACAATAAATAATTTTTTAGTATAAGTATGTCCCAAGTGTTAATGGGACATACTTAAACATTATTCATTGCTTAGCTAAAATTCAAATTTAACTCTTCAACTCAATATCCCATATTTTTATATCCTAAATCTGGCCACCAAAGGGGAGGGCTTGATCTGCTCGTGATCCCTGCTTTTCTCCCCTTTCCCAGCCTTTGGAGGCTTCAACCTAGTGTACAGGTTGCTCTACCTGCGCACCTGCTCTACCACTGGGTGTTTTAATAGTATTAAGAAATTATTGCTAATTGTGTTATGTGATAATGACATTGTAGTTATGCTGGTTTTTTTTTTTTTAAAGACTGTATTTATTTGAGATATAGAGAGAGCATGAGCAGGGGAAGGGACAGAGAGAGGGAGAAGCAGGCTCCCTGCTGAGTAAGGAATCTGATGCGGAACTTGATCTCAGGACCTGGGATCATGAGCTGAGCTGAAGGCAGATGATTAACTGACTGAGCCACCCAGGCACCCTATGCTGGTTTTTTTTTAAAGGAGGTCTTATGTCTTAGAGATGCATATTAAAAATTTTATTTAAAAAATCAATAAATTATTTATAAACAAAATGATAGGCTATCTGACATTTGCTCCAAAATAATATGAGGGGGGATATATATTGTGAAAAAAGTCTGATCATGGTGGTCTGGGACTAGCAGCAGAAGGAGGAAGGGAAGAAACTGCAGAGGGGCACAAGAGAATTTGGGGAATGATAGAAATGTTCTGTATTTTGATTACTGCAGTGGTTTCAAGGGGGTATATATCTGTTAAATCTCATTTAATTGTACACAAAAATGGATACAGTTTATTGTAAATGAATATTACCTCAAAGGAAATAATCTCAATAAAGGGATGTCTCAATAAAATTACCAGTTGGAAAACAAAAATGGGAGAGGAAGTGGACAGGGTTATGGATGAGACAGGGCTGGCCACAAGTTGGTTCCCAGCTGGTGGGGCTAGGTGGTGTTTACACATTGATTTCATTACACTGATTACCTGCTCTTTGAAGAGTCTGTATACAGCACTTTCCATAATAAAAAGGTTTTCAAAAGATAATAAGGACAAAAGAAGAAAATTCTAAATTGGGTGTTTTGGAATTTCTCAATAATGTAAAAAATATCATTGGAATTAGATTTGGTTGATTGAGTCTGATTCACTGGAATTAGATTGATAACTGTGAATGACTGACATAAAACTTTTATTATTTAGAAGGAGTCTATACTCAGATTTCCTCTAAATGACTTTGAATTCTCATTGCACATTAAGGAAAAAAAATGAGAATCCAAAAAAGCAAGAATGCAAAATGGTACAGCCACTTTGGAAGACAGTTTGGCAGTTTCTTAAAAGCTAAACATAGTCTTACCATATGAGCCAGGAATCATACTTCTTGGTATTAACCCAAATGAGCTGGAAACTTATGTCCACACACAAACCTTCATACGAATGTTTATAGCAGCTTTGTTTATAATTTCCAAAACTTGGAATCAACCAACATGTCCTTCAGTAGGTGAATGGATAAATAAACTTGGTACATGCCAACAGTAGAATAGTGTTTGACGATTAAAAAAAAATGAGCCACCAGGGGATTGGGGTGGGGAAATGGGGAGACATTGGTCAAAGGGCACAAACTTCCATTTATTAGATTAACAAGTTTGATGATCTAATGTATAGCATGGTGATTATAGCTAATAATAATGTATCATATGAGGGATAGAAGCAGAAAAATGTTCATCTTTAGTTCAGAAGGTTGACCTATGGCCTGCATAGTTTTGATAAGGATCAAATATGCGCTGGTTGCTGCATTCTTAAAGGGTCTGATGACCCTTAACTCACTGACAGTTAATATCAAACTGAATAATAAGAACCAGAGAAATCTTGCAAAAGTAGTTTTACATGTAGAAATTCAAAGACATTTATGATCACATATTCCCTGCGTGTCCTCCTCCTTGGGCACTAAAACATCTGACCACCAGCTTCATACAGCACAAAGTGCAGCTCTTTCTGCCCACGGGCCCTGCCTCCATACCATTTAAATTAAATTTACCAAGTTGCACGGTAGAATAGCTCAAGAATTCTTTCAACTGTACTGCACCATTTTTGGTGTCCCATATGGGGACAATGGAGAGAATCCAAGACCATTGGTGTGATTAGGTAAGTCTTCTTTATCCTTAGCCTTTGTCATGTACCTGAAAGGGATCAGTGGGAGCCATTACGGAGTTGAGGCACTCACCCAAGGCGGGACTGCTCCCCTGGGACTGGATCATGGATAAAGGTCATGAGAAAGTTGCTTGGATTAGATAGGAGTTCCATACTTTGGGTTTTTTTCATGTTTCTCACTTGTCCTTTCCCATGATCTGTTCAGCATTCTCCATCCTGCTCTCAGATTGAAAGTACCTCTAGCTTAGATACATGATGCTTAATATGATATGAAATAGCTGGCCCTTCTTGGGGCACCTGGGTGGCTCCGTCAGTTAAGCGTCTGCCTTCACGTCAGGCTCCCTGCCCCACGTCAGGCTCCCTGCTCCATGAGAGCCTGCTTCTCCCTCTCCCTCTGCTGCTTCGTCTACTTGTGCTCTCTCTCTATCTTTGTATCAAATAAATAAGTAAATAAAATCTTTAAAAATAAAATAGCTGCCCCTTCTGATGGCCTCCACCGCATCCATTAATACTAGTTCTAGAGGCTTACGAAAGGTAGT